GACGATGACCCAGCGCCTGCAGCCGCGTCCCGCCGCGCCGCTGGACGAGGAGCTGGAAGCACTCGGGTAAGCGACGGTCGGGGAGGCATCGCGGGTAGTGCTGGGCCGCTCGACGGGAGCTGACGGGTGGGAGCTGCTGCTTTTAACTGCTGCATTTGGTAACGAAGTGAGGAATAAGATAAGCTGGTGTTTGTTTTAATGAGCTCGCTGAAGGGCTTCATGCACGGTGTGCACCCCTCAGAGAAGCCCAGCACCTCGTCCCTGTGGCAAGTTTGAGAGCCTGGAAAGCTGCCGTGGACAGAGAATGCTGGCGTGCCGCAGGTGCATAGGAGAAATAAATAATAGTTATCAAAACTAGAGCACAGGCAGGCATTTAAGATATAGTAGAGCGTTAGAGGCAGGGGGCTACAGCTTCACTCTGAGGACCTCTGCATTGGGGTGAGCCCAAGTTGTGCAGTGTTGCTTATCTTTGTCTGTAGGGAGCACCAAACCTAGACCTTGTCCTCATAACTGCCCATCCTCCCCAGCTGCAGAGTTGCACCATCCCTTTGACCATCTCTTCATAGCTTGGCCTGTGCCCTGGCCTAGAGGGCTGCCATCCCAGCTGCAATGCTGGCTGCTTCTGGCTGGACCTAGGGAGGCAGGAGGCTTCCCCAGAGCGCCTCAGGCTTTGGGAGGGAGAGCAGTGGACATTTCAGAGTCGTTATAAGGACATCGCCCAAAAGCAAAACCCGAGGAGCAAAAAGGAAGGCTGAAGGTTGCAACAGACCTCGTTCCCTGTCCGATGCAACTCGCCCATTTTGTCTGCCAGTTAGTTTTGCTTTTTACAGGAGGATGGCGTGGGTTACTTTTTCCATCGGCAGCATTGCTGAGGCTGAGAAGAAGCGCAGGCTGGAGGAGCATAGGGAGGACAGGGAGGGAAGGATTGGTGGCAGTAAAGTGAAGGGTGGACAAAGCAGAAAAAAGGCCGGTGAAGATGCTGACAAAGCAAAAAGGCTCTGATGTCACCTCAAAAAAAAAAAAAACATGAAAAAAGTAAAGGTTTTTTGCTTCCTGAGTACTTAGAGATAAGGACCAACTCATTGTTTGTGTGATTAACTTGCTTAATGAAGAAACTAGACTGCAACAGAGACTTGGAATTACTATCTCCACACTGCTGTATTTTCCCCATGTTTAGAAGAACCTGTTCATGAAATGCCTTTTACTGAAGCATCTAACAAATATGAAGTGAAGTCACCTTGCAATGGTACCCAGTGTGGCCACTATATACTTTTCTTTTACATCTGTAAGATCATGCTTATCCTAAAAAAGTATCTACAGAAAAAAAAAATTGCAGCTGCTGTGGGAAGCATGATTCCCAACTACAAACTTTTATTCATTTAGACTATATGGCTTGAGAGGATTTATGCCAGTAACCTGTGATTATTAACAGCCTTGCTGGTTGGCAAAGAGTTTGTCCTCATAGATGATCTTGTAGGACTGTGGCCTGATGTGGTACCATTGAGAAGGAAAGCCTACAAATGAGAAGGCTACAAATATGCATTTTTAAAGCTGTAGCTTCTTTATTTTATTTCCACTCCAGTGGAAAACCTAAACTTTTCACCGTACCACAAAATAGTATGCACTTTTTTTCCAGAGCACTGTACTGAGTTAAGTGCACTAAAAGTGAATAAGCAATGCCAAGCAAAGATTCACTTCAGGTCATTAAACAAAGCCCTTTTTTTGGCTAGTAGTAAAGCCACTTTTTTTTTTCCCCCTGAAGAGGAAAAAGAAGTCCTCAAGCACCAAACATTCTGGCAACATAACGTAAGAGATCTCTTAATATAAGTACTTTTTTGGCTGTGAGAAGTGGATTGTCACTCTCCAGACTATAACAGTAAATTCTCAGCCACCAAGAGGGGTTTTTATCCTAGACTTAGTCCTTGTTGTTATCACAGTGTTGGGTTCCCCTTACACCCCACATAGTATCTAGCACACCTGAGACCCAATTCTGGTGACAAATGTACGTCATTGCCATAGTAAAAACCAACAGAGACAAGGGTCATTCAAATGAGGAGCAACTTTGACATTCACATCCCTTTGGGGGGAAACTTGAAGGGGGTTATTTTAGAGCTTCTGCTTTACTGTGCAAAAAAATCAAAGAAGTTGGAGAAGGTTTGAAGAAGTGTGAAATGGGAAGGACTTTTTCTTTACTTTTAAGAGAAACAAGGTTGGGTACCAGGATATCTTCATAGTTTAGCTGGTCATCAAAATGGAAAGTTCTCAGCAGTGTAGATGGAGTTACATTGTAAAACCTTTCTGATTATCTGCTAGATTTAGAGGACCTGGTGTTTGCTGGACTGTTCCAGATTAATGCTACTGTAATTACACTGAGAATATTGGAGCTGGTGAGAGCAAGGCAGGATGGACGGAGAACAAAATAATTAATGCATGCAAACCCCATCTTTATATTACGCCTGCGCTCTGGAGGTATCTTGTCTGTCACCAGAAAAAAGTAAAGAAGCAAGATTTAGCAATCCCAGTTACCATCAGGGACAATTGTAGTCACTGAAAGATCTAGATATATCTACAGCTCTTTATCAGATTGGATTTCTTTTTTCCCAGAGCCTCAGTATTTGTAAAGATGGACTTTCTGACCTTTTATATCACAACAGAAGAAAGCAAGAGTGATGAGTTTGGCTTTTTTTTTTTCCTTAAACTATTTCATTCAGTCTGAGGGAAGATGGTGGCTTAGATTTATTTGAAGAGTTGAGTGATCAAACAAACAAAGAGTTCAAAGTGAAAATTCAGATTACTGTCAGCTTCATTGTCAAGGTGGAACTGATGCCCAATGAAAAGGAAGATCAAAATCAGAACACGGTTAAAAATGTGTTACCTCATTCATTAACTACTTCCCTAAATCTACCAAAATACTTTAAAAAGGGTGCTGAAGTTTGTCAAAAGAGACATGAGCATCTTGGCTTGAAGAAGAAGGAAACTACCTTGGTGACCCTTCTTTGAAGATCTCTTTGGCTTTTCCTGGAGTCAGCCCTTTTTGCAGTGACATTTAGTGCTGAAAGGCCCGACTGCGCACAGCAGCATGAAACCCCCGCAGCCGATCACGTATGGCGCGAGTTTGGGGAATTCCACATTGCAGCCCGTGTTGTTTGCGCAAGAGAGAAGAATGTGGCCTGTCCCGTCATCCCAGTCAGTGCAGGCTGCTCTGGTAACACCGCTTACGTCCCAGCGCAGCACAGCGTGGGCAACGCTGTTTGTCTTGTCAGGTGAAAGGAACAGGGGAAAAAAGCCTATGATTTTGTAGCCTTTTCCCCTTTTTTGCAGTCCGAGCACTCTTTGTCATCCCTTGCAGCACAGCTTTTACGTTCCTTCAGCTCCAGGTTTGACAGTACCATGACAGATGGTATTTGTAAGACCGAACAATACACTTCATGCTTGGTTTTAGAAGAGGAATTAGGCCACAGGCCTAGATCAGATGATGATAAAATTGGGGAATTGAGGAACTTGTGTGACTGGGACAGGGCAAATGGTCATGAGAAGTTTTTTTTCCTCGTCTATATTTCTGATGTAATTTTGCCCTTGTTTATAACGGCTAGAAAGGGGGCAAAAGAAATGAGTAAAAAATCAGAACAAAGGCAGTTGAGAGAAGAAGGAGAGAAAATAGAAGTGAAAAGCAGAAGCTGAACTAGTGAAAGCCTACCATTAAAAGACATGAAATTTAAGGCTGGATACACTGATGTTACTTCCTCATATTTCTATTTTTACATTATTTTTCCTATGAAATGGCACCCTTGTATTCCAACCAAGTACTTTGGCACGTGATTAAACATTTCATTGTGACACATTGAAAGGATGTCTAATAAATACCAATTTTGGTTGTATGCCACCTGTAACTTCTGTAGTAGCGTTTTGACTCTTCTGTAGGCTCTCTAGAGTTCTGTCAACTCATGTGCCTTCAAAAACATTACCAAAATTTCACTTTTACTGGTGTGAGGTATAGAGCATCCTTTGCAACTTTCAGATGATAGGTTTGATGTTAGGAAAAAGGTTACAAAACAAACCCGAATCTTGACAGATCTGATCTGCAATCCAGCATGCAGAGAATAGAGAAGTAGTGAGGCTGTTCTGCAGAGTCATTTTTGGAGTACAGGCTCATGCAGAGTATTGCATCCAGCCAAGGGAGATAAGTCAGTGCTTTCCCACTTACTCCATCAAGCAGTACAGAGTATTACTTCTTTAAACTAGGAACAGAAGTACATCTTTGAGGCTAGTATATGGTTTCACAGTGTAAGAAAATTCAACTCATTGTGGTAGAAGATATTTTTTTAATATGAAAAAAGGTACAAAGCCTGTCAACATCCACCACAAAACTCAAACAACCCTCAGGGTAAATAACTGCTTTGAATAATGTTGAAGTCCTACTGAGAGCACATCTGGACCATCTCTACCTCATGTGGATCTCTCCTCCCTTTCAAAGATAGAAGAGAGATGAATTGGATTTTCTACATTTTGCTTCCACAAGGATGCTTACCCCCCAAGCAGCACCAGCAGAATTGCACCTTCTGTGGGAGGGGAGGGAGCGGAGAGATTGCGTCGCTGAATGCTGAGGATCTCCTTCCTGCTTCAGAGAAGGGGCTTTGAATTGCCCGACTCTTCACAAAAACAAGCCATACACACACACAGTTCCTAGCTCTATCGACGCTATAACTATCTGAGAACATAATCTGATAAGAACTCGAAAAATAAGCCTGACCTCAGCCTACGGCATTTATCTGGTAGCTGGGCGTTCCTTGGAGTTGTCACTCCAGACACTAAAAACAAGTGGCAGTCAGAACTTGTGGCTGTGCTCTCTTCTGCATGAGCTGTCTTTCAGTTTTATGAGGAAGAAAAGCGAGTGTTTCTACTGGGTGTTAGGCAGTTTGCACATAGAAAAGGCTGATAAGAGAATTATCCGAGTCACTCAACGTTTGTCCTTTAACCATGGATGAGTGTTTTTATTCCTTGTGTATTTTGGTACTGTTAAAAAGTTAATCCACCTGATGCCAGCTACAGGTTTATTCACCAGACCCTATTTATGCAGGCAAAAATGCTTTGAAAAATATCCATATGGTTTCTTTGTCAACAAAAATGACAGATGCCATACCTAAGGACTGTCTCATCTGCAGAGGACATAGCAGGGAAGCTTCATTAACATTTTTCTTTGAAACATCTTGAGTTGTTAAAGAAAAAAAAAACATGAACATTTTGAGGATGGTGTTCTTAGAATCACAGAATGGTTTGGGTTGGAAGGGACCTTAAAGATCACCCAGTCCAAGCCCCTGCCATGGGCAGGGACACCTCCCATTAAACCAGGTCGCCCAAAGCGCTGTCCAGCCTGGCCTTTCTTGCCTGAAGAGGGAGTTTCCCACCCCAAACATTGCTGTAATGTACTCCTGATCCTCACCACTGCATAGGGAGATCTAGTCACTGCATTAACTACACAGAGATCTTAATGAAAGCAGAGATTTTAACGAGTGTGTCCTATTCTGGAGCTGTAATAACAAGCGTAGATGTGGCTTGCACTGTGGCAGTCACCAGTTTATCCCACAGGGGAACCCACTGGTGAGGGGTGGGCAGATCCTTAGGGCAAGGCTGCGTGCTCTGGTGAGGTTTGGTTCTTTGGGCACGGTGTGTCTCATTTCTTTTTCCTCCTTCTCTTAACAGCAATGTCAGTAAAAGTCTTCTGATGCTGTCACCAATGCAATCTGATCTAAAGAACAGGCTGATTTCTGAAAATGCTTTATTTTCAAAGGAGAAATAAAGATAATCTTACCAGGGCTGTGTGCCTATCTCAAGACATGCTTTCATGGGCCCAGCAGGCTCTTCTGCTCCAACAAGCAGGAAGAATGGGCACTGTCAACACAAATATGCTTACACATATGGGATAAAGGGATTTAATGTAATTTAGGACAAAGTTAAAGTAACACAAATGGATAAATTACAGCAATTATAGACTCTGAAACTGAGCTTGCTAGTCAGATCAGCAATAAGGAACCCCAAAAAGGGGAGCATGCAGGATTTCTTTATAGGACAAATAAAATAATTAGGAAAGAAAAGCTTCCGAGAAGTATGTATGCATTTGAGACAGGAGGGCCAGCAAGGCCAAGGGCTCCCAGCAGAAGTGGCTCTGAAGCAGGGAAGGAATTTGTTATCTTTCTTCCTGTGTTTCTTCAGAGAAACCTGAATCAGGAATCCCAGGTGATTTCTACACGACTGCCAATTCTCAGTCTGATAAGAGTCGAAGTGCTGGCCGTATTTCTGGATTTTTGTAGTGAATAAAAGACTAAGTTGGGTCAAATAAAGATGACTTTTGGAAGGACCTTCAGAAACAGCCCAATATGCAACATGGTTCAAAATGGAAGAGTTGAGACACTTCAGCTTTTTGAAGGACTTGCTAGAGGCTTCAAACAGATGCCTGTTTGTAAAGCCATTTGATTTCATTAATTTCTTGTTTTAAGGCGGCAAGAAGATATATATAGTATAACATTTTCTTATCAACAGTTTCCTCCCCTAGGTATCACTCAGAAGGCAACCAAAACTGAAGCTAAAGGTGACTGCCCTTTACAGTGTCTTGCTGAATGAGCCACATCTCCCACTTTGGTTTACCTGCAAATTTCAAAGAACTGCCTGAAGGATTTTTTTCTTAATAAGATAAATAGAAGTATTGCCTTCTTTGACAAATACTTCAATTCAACTGAAGTGCATCTACTAATGTCTAACCACGAGGCTGCTTGGGTTTCCTTTTAGTCCTGTTCACTTGTATGTGTTATAAGGCAGGCACGATTGGTAGAGCAGACTGTTTGCATAGGTGTGCATTTATTTACATTCCTGTTGGTCTGTGTGCAAATGTTAAATTTTCCACAGCATTTTAAAATTTTACCTGTGTTCATGCAATTGGAATGAATTTTGAGTGATGATTTTTATGGTGGTGTATCCACGTAACCTGGCAGTTGGTACTGATTGAACCGTCTGTGACAGGAGGAGGAAAAATTTAGCTACAGGAAAAAGCCACAGTCACTTTGGCACTGAGATCTGTATTATTGTCTCACATCCACTTCTACGTTTTAAGCTGAGCAAGAGGAACACGGTAACATTTGAGGGATTTTTGTCTGAGACAGCATATTTAGGCAAGAAGAGTGATGCAACTTTGTCAGCAAAGGTTTAAAAATGCACTTTAAACCAACATTATTTCCCCCATTAAGTGTGTGTGTTTGTGGTGTTGGTTTGTTATTTTTTCTTGCATAGTGGTAAAATTACATCAGGCACCGACCTTTCATGTGTAAAGAAAGAGTAGATTTAAACACTTTATTTTTAAAAATTTAAATTACTTCTATTTTAAAATCTTAGTAAAAGGCTATTTGGAAATAACGTAACAGTGCACTTATAAGCAGCCACAAACTGAATATGCCTCTCCCATGAAAAAGGCCACTGACCGATTTTCTCAATGTGTGTTTCTTTAACGCAGAAGGGAGAGAAATTCCCCCCAAAACACAATGCTGTCTTCTCAGCTGTAGATCCAGCCAAGCGTGTGTGCTGATGTGATCCTCATCGCAGCAGGACAGAGCTGACCTTTGGCTGTTACTTACTTGGGCAGCTAATCCCAAAGCGGATTTTGGCTAGCAGGTGTTTCAGAGGATGACACTTTGATCTTTAAATATTCATTATTTTATTCTACTGTGTAGATGGTCCACGGAGCACGTTCTGGAGCCAAAGCAGCAATACCCTGCCTGTACTGAGTTTTACACGGGTCTTGTCTTCCACAGGGTTAACAGTCTGGAGTCTCATAAAGCCATTTATCAGCCAGCTGGCCTGTCACACAGGCAGCCGTCTAAATCCAGAGTTAAAACTTGGTGTGTGATGCCAAGTTTAGAGGCAACTTGCGATGAACAGATAAGGAGAAAGGGTGTACAATTACACCACGTTTCAGCTTGAAGGCTGCCATAATATGAGTGCTGCGATTGCACTTCTGCTTTCAGTCAAACTGCGTTTCTCTGCCTGAAACAGCCACAGACTTTGGCCCTATACTGCAGAGATGCAGAGTTTGAAGGAAGGGGAAGAAGTTTTGGCACCACTCTGCACACAGACACAGGGAGAAGCTTGCACCCTGCAGCGCTGTGCCCTAGATACAGCATCCCCACCTCCTCCTGCATCAGAGGTTCTGGTGTATAACTGTCCTTAATATCTGCACACAGCCCCTCTTACAGGATTGCTGCTCCTGCCTCTTGCACTTGCGGCTCTTTTTTGTGTTCTGTCTCGAGACCATTTCTAATGAGATCCTTTTCTATTGAAAGAAATCAGGTGTTTCTGTTGGATGGAAACCAACCTGTAAACAACATTTCATGATCTTCTTTGCAAGACCTTTTCATTTAAAAATATTAATTTAGTTTTACATGGAGTTCAATGAAGCAGGTGTTTAGGCATTTTCCTGCATTGCTCAGACTATATATGGCCAAGTGGAAATGATAGCGAGATTTCCTAGATTTTCACTTCAAATTCTGTTAGTTAATTTTGGTCCCTTCCTCTATTCCTTCTTTCCAAAAGGTTATGTTTCAGTGTAGTCAAATGTGTTTAATTGCAGATCTTAGCAGTGCGGATGAACAGAGTTGCGGGAAATAGAGAGTTTGGGAGGAGTTCAAGTGTTGTCTGTTTGCCCCAAAAGAGGAAGTGTACCAAAGCATGTAGAGATGTCAGGAAGTTCAGATTCTGAAAATAGACAAAGGATCCTGTGTACCCCCCCAAAATGGCTTTCACCTTATCAGCATGGACTTGAGTAATTTGTTGTTCATGCAAATAGAATTTGCAGGGTTCTTTAGATTCACAGGGTTGTAGTTAAAAAAATAAATGTTTTTCTGAGCATGTCGAAAGGGACACAGCTCTGTGTAACCTGAGTGAGCCTGTGAGAAGGGTGGTCACTCAAAACTGAGTTGCAGCCCTTCCTCTTCCTCTGGCTCCGCTCCATGATGTGGCAGCAATTGTCAGTGTCATTCACTCAGCTCTTAACTTTCACCCCTTGTGTCTTCCCAGGTGGTACCACGATAATCTCACCCGGCACGCAGCAGAAGCGCTGCTGCTTTCCAATGGGCAGGATGGGAGCTATCTCTTGAGGAAGAGCAACGAAAGGGAAGATTTGTACTCCCTCTCTGTAAGGTAGAGCATGGGCAGAAGGGAATTTGTCTAATGCCTCATAGCTAGCAGGTTGAAAATCTTCGCTTCCTCCCATGTTTGTTTGCATGTCTCATGCATGAGCTGACCTGCAGATATTTTCCTAGGACTCAATCAATTTTAATATATCTTCCTAATGATGTAATGCTGCTGAATGACATTTTGTTAGAAGAAAAAAAATTGGAAAAATGAGAGCAATTCTCAAATCCAATCCAAGCTATGAATTAAACTTATTGGTGAAAAACATGATTCCATGAATTGGCTGTTAATTTTCAGTCTGCATGATAAAAATCTGTATGGCAGTTACAAGAGTTTAAGAAACAGCTGATGGGAGTAGAAAAGTTTTCTGATTACAATAGCAGTAAATACACCAGTTAATAGGTGCTAACTTCGATTTCTGGATTACTGCATAGGAACCGTCTTGAAGGGATGATCTGGTGTTTGATGGATGGTTTTGCTCCTCTGTTCTGGGCTAAGACTTGGTCTTAGCCAGCAATGCATGACTGATTTGAACAATATTTCGCAAGTGACAGACATCAGACACTTGAAATCATCAGAATTACAGCAATTTACATCAGCTCAGGACACAGCCAATACAGAGCACAGGGAGCCTGGCCTGGGTACTTCACTACTGAATCACAGTTAAAGAATCTCCAAGACACAGAGAAGCTACAGTATTTTAGGGAGACAACATGAAAGGCGTATGTATTAGGCACACAAGGTGGCCCTTGCATGTCAGCTGAGTGGAGGTAACCAACCCTAAAGAAGTTCTTAGCCTTTGGCAACTGTACGATATATTAAACCTCTACAGTGACATTTTAAGCTAGTGCATGTAAGCTTATTTCTGCCTCAAACTCAGCCTCAGCAATTATGACCACAGCTCAGCTGAATCACACTGACTTTTTAAGCTATACTTTGATGAGTACAGTGATGCTAGTTATTCACAACCCTAATAGATAGAAACACAGCTTATGCTCTTGAAATCGTGACTTTCTGTGTGTGCAGTACCAGGAGCTGTTATGATTTGGAAGTGTAGTTGCTTGGAAACTGAGGAAAGTGCAACTTGCACATACCCTGCTCCTCAGAAGTATAAAAGGCGGAAAGTGTGAATTGCTCCACTCATCTGACAGAAGACCCAGGGGCAAGTGTGCCTATAGATACACTGCTGAAATTATTACCACTGTAGACAGCCATTTATACAAGGAGCTTGGGGAGCGCCGGACAGATCTGAAGGGGTTGTTACAAAATGAGTATTCAAAGTAGCAGTGACTGAATTGAGTGCAAGCCTTTGGAAAAAGAAAAGTTGCATTTATAAGTAATAGTTTTCCTTTAAAATAGTAATTTGAAATGAATCATTGTCTTGCTGATTAATACTTTTTTACTTTAAAATGTAACTAAACATCATATATATTTAATTGTCTGAGGACTACCTCAGATATCTTGAAGCTAGTTTTAAAGGGCATGCAGGAAACAACTTACTGTGATAAAATAAAATTTAAACAGCTGTTCTTTTAATAAGAAGGAAAAGTTAAAATGTTAATGAAAATGAATTTGCTCCTTTAACAAATTCTAGCTTTAGAAGACCTAGAAGAGTCTACTTCAGGTAAATGCCAATCTCTTGTTCAGCTCTCCATGCAAGAACAAGAGTTACTTAACTGCATTACCATAAAAACTAAATATCCCAGTCTGGAGTTTCATCTTTTATCCTCTTACATTAGTTTTTTGGTGGCACAGCTCCCTTGAAATACTAATTTTGATTTTAAAATGTTTAATATTTTTCTACTGGTTGTTTAAATTTTCCTTTCCATTTTTGACTAATATTAAAACTTAATTTTAGAAGAAGTAATTACATTTTGTTCTGAAACATTTTTGTAGAAAGGATAATTTTAGCAATTCCAGCTGTAATTTTCTTTCTCTCCTAAGATGTCTTCTACAGCTTTTACTTTACTTTCTACCTCTGCCTCACAAGGAACTTCAGGCATGATTGTAGTTTGTTTTAAAAGGAAACAATGCTTACACAGCCCCTGAGGTTTTTATTGACGGCTCTATGAAGAGAGATCACATATTGCCTGAAATCCCCTCCCCCAGCTAAATTAGCCAACTTTAGGAGGAAGGAGGAAAGAGAGTAGAAGTTGCTCTCATTGCAACATCGTATTTCTTGGGAAATGAAAAGATGAAAGCCCTGTCACTACAGCAGCTATTTGCTGTTGGAGGGCATCTGCACGCATTCTGTCTCAGCTGACTGTAGCATACAGGAGGTCAACAGGGGCATGGTCTACAACATCATCACTACTGTTCAAGGATAAATATTTGTTTAAATACCTGTTTGAAATGAAACACCTGTGGAAGTGGCAATAAACTATGGAAAAGACACTCTAAATGCCTTTCTTCACCATTTATTCAGTATATTTGCCACATATATTAACAGAAGTAACTTTTTTACGGGAGACATACTTGCACTAAGTGCTTCACTGCCTTCTGAAATCAAAATAATTGCCCGTTCAGGAAGTCAGGCCTTGTGCTCTTCTCCAAATACCATCAGCCTTCATAAATAAGTGCTGTTACTTCCCTGAGAAAGGATCCTGGTTCAGATTTGACAGTGCCCACCACAGAGGAACCATTTGCCTGAGTACAGAGACAAAGCTGACAAATTCTAAAGCCTTAGGTATCTAAATTTAGGTTGTTAAATCCCTGTTTTAGTGCAAAAGAGAGGCAGCCTATTTTTGAAAGAGAAACAGAAGACATTTTCAATGAGATTGGGATGCTACCTGAAAAGTAAGACATATACCAAGTAATACAGGTACACTATCAAGACTAAAGCCTAGTAAGTGAAAGACTGGAAATCTTGTTTAAGTGTCTTTATACTGACTGCTGCAACAGTTGACTTAATTTGGCCTTTCTAGGCTTGCATCATCTTATATCTGTAAAGTGGCAGTTAGATTTTTCTTCATAAATCTGAGTCTCAGGTGTGTTGAGTATTAGTGAGGGGCAGTAATGGCAGTAGTAATACTGCTAGGACAGCTGCTATTTAAGGGTTGTATGTGCCAAATGCCTTCGGCATTTATGCCTTGACAAAATTTCCTTTTATTTTTTTGTTTTAGGGGAAAAGATTCTGTAAAACACTTCCACATTGAACATACAGGAGCTTCATTCAAATTTGGATTTAATGAATTTTCTAGCTTGAAGGAATTAGTCATGCATTTTGCAAATCAGCCTTTAATTGGAAGCGAAACAGGTAAGGAGAGCCATGTGTTTGTACAAACACAGTTGTAGTTGTGCTTCATAGAGAGCTGAGTAAAAGTGTTATCAGGTAGATCTACTGCTGAAGTGTTCCTCTTCATTAATTTGTGTTTGTATTAGCCTCAACTATCCAAGATGTTCCTCTTCAGTAACTCTTTCAAGTATTCTGAAGGCAAACTACATGTGAGCTTACTGGGTATTTGCTAACCAGGGGGATGAGCTCCTTTTGATTTCTCAGAGAGAGAAGGAAGCATTTCAAAATATGCATGCACTGGGAGGAGCAGAACCTTCTCAAAAAAGGGCAAAACTGAGGCAGGGTATTTTGTGAGGAAATACATGTTCATCTATGAAACTGAAATCCCTCAATTAGAATAAATGGAGAAGGGACTTGAAATTGTTTAGCTCCACTATTCTTCATCCGAGGAAGAAGCCTACAGTGATATGTTCCTCTTTCCTGTAGGAGATGTGCCCTGTATTGCCTTTCTCTTTCTGTTTGCAGTGGCTTAGCCTGCTGATGCCATCTGCCATCACAGTGTTTGTCTTGTTTTTAAGAAAAAGAAAGAGGAAAGCTTCTTTAGCAGCCAACATGCTACCTTCATTTAGAGTCAAAAGATTAAACTCAATTCCTACGAGTTGAACACCACCAGACCAGAATCCCTGGAGAAACATATGCATATTATCATGATAATGCCAGTTTTAGGTTTAGCTTCAATTGTAAGAGTTGAAGATGTGTCAGTACAGGTTAGTGCCTAAAACTTCAGTATCCTGTGTAGAAAGTGTATGCACATAACTCAGAGTAGCACTCATTATCTATGCAAACGAGCAGTCCAGCACGTTCAATAGCTGCAATATGTCGCACACTAAGTATGCACCAGTGCTCTTGCAACACAAGCATTACATCCAAGAGTTGCTTTGCAATTTCTGTGCCCCCAAGAAAAATGCAGTGCTACACTCAATATGGCACTTGCGTCTTTCAAAGCATTCTCTTTTTAAGTTGCTTTTAAGAGTGTTTTGGACAGTTTCTACAGGTATCTTTTGTGCTGGTAAGCTATTTTTTCTGTGAATCAAACATACGCCCATAGGCCTATTGCTGTAAAGATTTCAGCTGGCCTATAAAACTTGTGTTTCCCCATTCCTTCACCGTGTGTGTTACAGACATTTGTTACCAAGGCATTGGTGTTGTGTGACCTCTGTGGACAGAATCAACACTGCTGAATGATGGGCTCACTTGTTGCCTTAAATCTCCCTAATCAGATTCTGCTGGCTCTGTGAAACCTCTTGAAGTTGGATGTGCTACAGAGTAAGAAAAGCCATTTGAACATCACATCAAGAAACCTTTCACCTTATGGTTAGCTCTCAGGCAACGTTCCTTCAGATACAGGTGTCAAAGGTCTCCTGGGTGGTAACTGATTTATACCAAAAAAAGGGGCAGAGGCTCATCAGAGCCAGTGGTCTGTAAGCCAAGCGCAGCCAAACACAGGGTTTCACAGTGGGCTGGCAGAAGGGCCAGCAACAGACTCTGATTTCCTAGGCCACACTTCCTTTCAGTGAAAAGCAGCAAGCGCCCTTTGGCTTGGGCATTAGTAGAAAGTAGTTGGGCCAGTTTTCCTTATTCCTTGTTATACTTAGAAATAATTTTCTATAAAAACACCGAGAGATCAGGAATGAGAGAGTAAAGCAAGATAGCATGACAGGATTTTTCATCTTCTTGCTTATGGACAGGATTTTTTAAGGCAGAGGCTCACGGGATAGAATATGTAATGGTCTTCACTACCTTCCATGCAAGTTTTGTGTCGCTGGAGCTAGTTTTGTGTCTGAAGAGGGACACCAGACTCTCCTGAACACACAGGCCTGCACCCCTGCAAACTGATCTATGGAGCACAGTGGTTCTTTCATACTGGCACAGCTGCAGGTTTCTGCTTCAAGCCCAACAGCTTCATTTGCCACTCCAGATTGCTACATGGACTCACATCTATTTTTCTGCAGTGTAGTGTGTACGCTTCCTTCTGAACTACAGATAACTAAAAGGAAATTGGGGCTGAGATGGTTCATTGAACAAGCAAGCTGAATCTACTCAGTAACAAGAATAAGGCAATATACTATTAGATTTCTGTCTTTATTCAAAGGTCAACATGTATTCTTACCTGTTTGCTTTGTTTATCAGTTTTTACCTAAATTAGTTTGAAAACTAAGTCATTACCCAGACAAAAAAGCCCGTCACTTTAAGCTAACATTTCTAACAATAGAAATAATTTTAGTTTTTCCTTAGAAACAGATAAAATGCACAAACTTGCAAGAAGAGTCTTGCTACAGTGCAGCTTTTACTAGTTCTTTTGTACAGTTAGCAGATGATGCTGTACAAGTACCTTTTGTGAATAAAATACATGGAGAAGTTACTAGAAAACATATATAAAATGTTACACTAGTTCTCCCAGTTCTGCAACAGGGCTCTTTATCTATGGTGTACAGATGATGGTACTCCAATTCTATGCAACAGCTTCAGAGTAGTTTCTGTAGACTGGTGATGGAGGTGTTCATTTCAAATGATAAAAGATTTTTTTTCAGCAAGGCCAGAGAGAATTAAACTGATTTTGAGTTTTCACCTACAGCAAGTTAAACGTATCATATTTGCATACACCCCCTGTGCCTGCAGATTTCAGTTGGTTACCTCAAATACAATTTTTTCACTTCCCTTTGCTGACTTTCCCATTACAAAATATACTTTATTTCGCTTTTAAATTACTCAGTCACCTGTAGGTTTCAGGTCCGAGTTCTTACTAATTCTAGCATCCCTCCTCTTTAAGAGCTGACAGTATCAGCATAAAATGCAAATGGAGCAGCATTTGGTATGCTGTGATATTATTTTTAAAGGATGAGATTAGATGGTGTAGCAGTTACTATTTTAAGGAGGTTCTTCACTGTTGTGAATTGTGTAACATTCACTATTGAGAATGCAGCTTTTTGCAGAGAACTTGCAATAAACATGGCCTTATTTGGAAAGCAAAGAATGGCTATAATTAAAATGTTACTAACGGGAAAGAACTATAGTAAAACAGTTAAAGACGATGGTAATGTGGGCTTACTGTTGGGAAGTCTGTATCCGAAGCTCTGACAGATTAAGTGATTTGTGCAGCAAACAGTGGGTTTTTGGCAAAACCAGGATGAGTGTTACAGCCTCATATCAAGCCTAGCATCCTGCCCATCCCCACAGCCAGCCTCCTGTGCAAAAAGGGAATTCAGTGTGTCAAGGGATTCCCTGCAAGCACTGGTAAGTTTGAAGGCTTTAAAAAGGCACCACGTATTTACAGTTTTCACAGTTGCATGTAAGCAGGTGTGATAACGTCTGTAGTCACATCTCCATGAATGCAATTAACAAGATGACCGTGCATGGTAGAAAGTCCCAATCTTGATCACATGTAGGTCAGCATTTCAGCTGTAAGCATTCAATACCCATGAAACCTGTGTTTCAGTTTGTTCTATATTACGTAGTTACTCCCTATCTGGAAAGCAGGTTTCCAGCAGGAGAGGAAACACTCACCTTTAAGAGTTGTCTGATGGTCCTATTCTGCTGCTGTCTTGATTTTTCACTGCTTACCATGCATTGCAGAAGGAGTTTAATTACCTACTGCTTAGAATAAGTAAAGAGAACAAAAGAACAAATCCCACTGTACAGGGATGAGGAAATGGAATTAGGCAAGGTCCAACTGCCCAAAGCATTGAGGACTGAGCAACACAGTAGAGCCAAGGAAGTGAGACTGGGCAAATGAATCCAACAGCAAGTGCCCCTCTGTAGTTTGTATGGGTGGATTTTAGTAGAAAATATCCTTCACAAAGGCTAAACTATTCTGATGATGTGTGTTAGAAATATTTGTCTAGTTTTATCCATATGGGAGAGTAATTTATAGCATCTGTGTCAGGGGGAAGGAGCCAGGCTCTTCTCTGTGATGTCCAATGACAGGACAAGGGGCAATGGGTGCAAGCTGGAGCATAGCAGGTTCAACCTGAACATAAGGAGAAACTTCTTTACTGTGAGGGTGACAGAGCACTGGACCAGGCTGCCCAGAGAGGTTGTGGAGTCTCCTTCTCTGGAGACATTCAAAACCCGCCTGGATGTGTTCCTGTGTGACCAATCTAGGTGATCCTGCTCTGGCAGGGGGGTTGGACTGGATGATCTTTCGAGGTCCCTTCCAACTTCTAATATTCTGTGATCTGATTGTTTTCTTACATGGATGTGGCCTGCATCCTGCCCCCTTCCAAGGAAAGCCCCTTACAGGGAATGTCACAGTGATCCTGGGGAGGTTATTAGTTTCTCCTAAAATTAAAAAGGAATAAGAGCTAAAGTTAATTGTTCTACAAACAGGCAGCTACTGGCAGTTATTTTCTAAGACTGTCTTGCTAGATTAATTACTCCTGCTTTTTTCCTCTCCAGGAACCCTAATTGTATTGAAGCACCCCTACCCACGGAAAGTGGAGGAGCCTTCCATTTATGAGTCTGTCCGAGTCCACACAGCCATGCAGACGGGAAGGACAGAGAACGATCTTGTTCCGAACGCTCCCTCAGTAAGTTGTGTTCTGGCTGCTTCTCCTGGCCCATGTTTTCTGTGATCGTTGGAGTGAGCTATGGAATAACACCAGTAATTCTTCCCTTTATGGGTTCATAAATACAGGAAGTCTTTGCCGACCAAGGCAGAACAAACACAGATTTGCTAGGTACAGTCCCATGACAAATAAAGCTTTTCACAATTGTTGTCACTGGGAAAACATTGTCTGCAGCTAACTTAGATGAGCCTGACCGTCCAAACAAAGATTATATATAAGGTTTTCGTTCTCTTATTAGCTTCCTTTTGGATGCTATTTTAGCAATAACTTTATCAGGAACTTAAAAAACCAAACACAGCACAAAAAACAAGCACAAGACTTCTCACATGTTTCTGTCAACACTCGTCAGGCTGTACGCAACAATACCTATGTTAGGTTGCACAGTAAGCTCTTGTTTTGCCAAACATCTTTCACAGCCAGTGACAAGTGACTCTCTCTCTCACGCCATACACGAAATAGCAGAACCAAGTAAAAGCTACAGAATTGACCACATTTTGTCTGACTGTGGATATGAGGAGGAGATGGCAGGAAACAGTAGTAGTCCTGACAGAAACTCATTTCTTGCTATTTTTGCACGTTGTCTTTGTTAGAATTATGTTGCCCAGTAAGCAGCATACAGCCTCCTTCCAAACTGGAAGGAAGGAAAGAACATCCTTGACTTTCTAGGTCAGTTAAAAAGTGACCTTTTGAAAAAAAAAATATTCAAAGATGCGCAAGGCAAGCAGAGGCACATTTGGAAAAGAAAACCCGAAACTGAAGTGTGGTACAACCAAGTTGATAATGCCTATATCCTGATAGGCACATTACTCAAAAGGTTTTTTAGGCATTTTCACACTTGGATTTTATTATTTTAGAAACACCCTGTCTTAAAGCAGGAAGACAGCAATATGAGAGAAGACCCTCCGCCCTTTCAGCCCTAGTAATTTTGAGCAGAGTAAAGAGCTGTGTTACATTAAAAGCTATACCTTACTGGTGTGAGAAACAAAATAACATCTTCATATGCATTTAGGCCACCTGCTCTGACATCTGTGACTCCCTCGGACAGTAATGAGAAGCTTTAAATCCTTCGTAACTCGTATCTAAGCAAGACACATGGCTTGTCCAGAGCAGTATTGCTCAGAACACAGGAAAGTTTTAAATGGCATACTATATTATTGGACAAAAAGACAAAGAGTTACATTAATAGAGGTTAGTGAAGTTCATAAAAGAACTACTTCTGATGTCTCTCAACTTCATGACAAAGTTCCAATTTAACCTTCAAAGGAACCTGACTTCCAAATACATCCTATCAAAATGCAGTATTTTTTTCAAGAGCAAGCAGTAATTAACTTGGCAGGAATTTGGTTTTCAGAGGCCAGCAGTTTCACAATTAGGTTTCTACCACAGAGTTTCAGTGATTATCTGAGAAGTCATAAGGTGTCACCTTCACTGATGGTGGCAGAGAAACAGTTAAAAAAACAATTTCTCAAGAAGCAAATTGAATGTAACGGGTTTTTCCTCTTCAACTTACGGCTGCTTGAGAGAATGCCTGAATAAAACAGCATTTCACTGCCCTCCCCCAGCCTTTGCATTTCAAGAGCAATTTCTGTGGATAATTCCACTGTCCAGTAAACCCCAGGTGCTTCTGGTTACCACACGCACTGAGACAACCAACTAACTTTACTAAATAAACTGGAACTGCAAGTGTTTTGCTGTGTTTGATTGAGAAGATGCAGGTCAGAGCTTGCTGAGGGAGCCATGGTGTAAGAGGTTGCCTTCAGGGCTAGTACAGGTCCATGGTTACCCCAGTGGAGGCTCCAGCCGTTTGAGGGGGGCAGAGGAGGACAAGGCATGAGGCCCATGGAAGTTTCCCCCAAGAACAGGCTGCTCCTTTGTCTCAGAGTGTGGGCAGAGATGTGGGAAACAGAAGCAGAGCTCAGTCTCTAACCCCAATACCTTTCCTTGTTACTTTACAGCTTGGTACAAAGGAAGGATATTTGATAAAACAAGGCAAAATAGTCAAGGTAAGGAAAACTCTTACTCGTTGCATTCACTTTGTGATCACCCACAGAAACTAGAGACAGTGCAGAGCTGAAACAGCTCCACCTGCGTTCCCCTGTGGAGAGGAACAGTTTGTGTTTTGAGTAACAGCAAAGCATGGTTATAATTCAGAACAACTCCACAGCTTTAAAGGTTTTTCTTTCCTAAGAAGCTTTACACTAAAGTCTCACAAGACAATTACCATCCGTTCTTGATCTTTCAGAATTGGAAGACAAGGTGGTTTACACTGCATAGGAATGAACTTAAGTATTTCAAAGACCAGACAGTAAGTAGCAAACACCAGTTCTACTCTTTAAACCTCTACAAAGGCAGCTGCAGCCTTCTCATATCTCTGGCTTCTCGCTTCTGTACCACAGCTTCTCAAGCCAAAGCTTTCCCAACTGTGAGAGAGATCAGAGCTTTCAAATAAAGTCAGGGTTTTGCTGATGACTTCAACAAGCAGAAGTCAGCAAGTTTTACAGCTAGAAAACATTTACTGTGCTCTGCCAGTCTTACCCACTAGACAGAGTTGTTGTTTACAGTACATTTTCAAGATCTTAAGCTACCAGCACAACACAGCTTTTACTGGTAGCTTTGACACACAATCTAACAGACAGTGGTGCTATTAAAATATTTCTGCAAGTGCCAGTAGTATATTTTGCATTCCTTGATTTCATCCTTTTATTTCAAGTGGTCACGCATTATACATAGAAAACCATTTAAAAATGCCTTCCTTCCTAGCATTCTGCCATAGATTAACCAGCTGCATCTGGGAAAAACAATTTGTCCTTACAGTTGCTGTCCCATTTCTGTCTTAAACTGAGTAAAAATAAGAAATACCTCTAGAGTTTCTCCACCCTTGCAATACCTCCAGTTTGGGTTTGTCCATAAACATAGCCAAACTGTTTGCCTCTGGACCTCTGCCAAGCCCTGTTTCAAGCATCTAACAGATTTTAACACAACAGCATACACAACTGCCACCAAACACCAGTCGTTACCATTTATAAATAATTGTGAATTTACAAGGCCTCCATCAGATTTCATTTCAATTCAAGCCAACATGAATTAAGTTTCCAGGATAACATTTCAAAGGGCAGCACTCCAAATATTTCAGTAGCATTTGTGACTTACTAGGCTAGAAGGTGTCTTTGTCACGAACATGGCCTCCTCCCAGGCAGCAGCTTCAGTGTTTTCTGGCATTCCCATTGTTGCTGTGGGGTTGCAGACACCTACAGGTGAGCAACTTGCTGCTGACCCCGGGATGGCATTTGTTAGCGTGCCTCAGCACAAGTGGCTTTCTTCTAGTGTAGTGCATAACTAACAGCCAGCCACTAAGCCAGAGGAGAACATAAGGAAAGGTGAGGAAACAACAGACACCTCCATGGACCTCATGAAGGACCATGGGAGCAGCTAAGGGTGTTTGAGTGGAGGGCAAGCTGCTTTTCTACTTCAGCTGCATTTTGCAAGGTGCTCAGCAGCATGAGACTGAGAGAAACAAATCAAAGAAGGACTCTCATGCTTTAGGGAGAACAAAACCATTAAGGGAGATGTTGTAGTCATATACAATCTACATCACTGCACCTGAGCACCCCTGGACCTGTCCCAAGAGAGTTCAGTACATACACTCACTGCTTATACAGCCAGCCCCATTGTTCCTGCAGCAAGCACTACTTTTACATTTCTCCCTACCCAGCTTCATCCTTTTAAAGCACTTAGGAATTAATTAAATCTCCAACAGCTGGCTAGGCCTGATAAGACCTATAATCATCCCTTTGTCTCTGTAAAACTTAGCTGGAAATTATACCAGATTTGCTGCTGTGTCAGTTACCTTTATAATGCATCAACCACAGCCTCAGCAGTCTGCACCTAGCTCAGACTTTCCTGCAGTAGAGATCACCTCTGTTCTTTGCCTAGATCTGAACTGACTCTCCTGTTTTTTTCTATTTAGCTCCATTCATATCACATTAGCACTGATGTTACATTTACTAGTTTGGGGTTACAGTGTTACAGCTATTATACCTATGCCTGGAAACACCTAGTGTGCTTATAAAGGTCTGGATGCATTGAAGATGAACCAAGCCAGCCTTATCTTCTGTTTTTGGATGTTCTCATTTAAAAACCATTTTATTTTCAAGGCCACAGAACCGATTCGGGCACTTGACTTAACTGAATGCTCAGCCGTGCAATTTGACTATTCCCAGGAAAGAGTCAATTGTTTCTGGTAAGTTGCTGTGCTTTCTCCACCTCGCTGGGAAGGTCAAAATAGCCAGGGAAGTTTGAAATGTAACCACTGGGTGCTTCTGAAAGCTCCCTTGCCAACTCCAACCCTGATCTTCCTGTAACTCTTGAGTCTCTCTCTGTCAACCAACCTCTGTCAGTCCTGCAATGTTTTGCCAAATTAACTGCTGGCAAAAGGGGGTTTTTTCTTGGTAAAGAGAAAGGATGTAGGGCTATGTGTAGAGGGCATTTCTTTTCCTAATTCTGTAAGCATGTCTAATCATCACCTAGACCCATGGAACTTAGGTACAGTCCAGTTCCCAGACCAAACAGTGCTATGGGGCCCACAGTAACCACTTCTGCGCTCAAATGAGGGACTTCTGTCCATGTGGGCCTGAGGCAGCATCTCCCCAAGCTGTAAACCATCCTTGGCTACACTCCCCTCCTGGTGACTGAAGGGGAGCACGGCCTCCCTCCCTTGCTCTGTCTAAACACCTGTTGGTGCAGGCCAGCTGGGTTCAGTTTTAGGAAGAACTAACAGTTGTTCTTACAATTTAAGAAGTAGTTTTAATTGTTTCCTTACAGTTTAGTGTTCCCACTAAGGACATACTACCTGTGTGCAAAAACTGGAATAGAAGCTGATGAATGGATTAAAATACTGCGATGGAAACTGGTAAGCTGTTGTGCAGTGTTACGTGGTGGTACGCTGCAGGCAGCGGTACCCTTGGTACTGCCATCCTAAGCCCTCCCTCCCCCCTAAATATTGTATCACCCAAGCACTACAGTTCTCAGTATCTGTGAGAAGGGAGTACTTGTTCTGGCTTCCAGGCCAACTAGACTGCAATATGTAGTTTTCATGTAATGTATGTGCTTGCAAACCCACTCAAGCATTTTTGGGATGCCCTTTTAACACACATACTCATGAAGAAGAAATTACTTCCATCTTTAAGGATGTCATGTAGATGGTAAGCAGTATGGAGCATCAGCGCAGATGGCATCTGTTGGGTCATGAAGGAAGCAATGCGAAGGCAATGTAAAGGCTTGAAAGCGTTACTTCCTTAAAAAATCAGTATTTGGGTTGGTTGTACTCACCTACGTCCACATGCATGCAGACAAACAGTAATGGATTCTTTCCGTTCTAGTCACAAATACGGAAGCAGCTGGAGCAGCGTGACACCACCCTCAGCTCATAGCTGCACCTCCAACACTTCTGCTCCAGTGGCAGCAATTGCCTCTTTGCCAAGGGAAGGCATCACTTGCAAGAGGATGGTTTTGAATGTCTCCGTGACTCACAGCGGGCACACACGTGTACAGCTGCACACAGACACTCGCATCCAGCTCCACGCACAAAGGGTTTGCATAGCCGAGCGCTCTCGGGCTGTTGAGTCACGTGTGGACACAGTTACAAAATCGGAGCGTTGGTTTGATGTGCGCAGTGTACGCCTGTAGTGCATGCTCAATTCAAACACCTGCTGACTGATCACAGAAGCGGTCACACTTTAAAACTTTTGTGGTTATTCAGAGCACTCTTGATAATTTATTGTCAGCTCCGTCACAATTAACCATTAGCAGCATTGCTGTGACCTTGAGCCTGTTATTTAAAACCAGTCTTTTCTGGAAACATTATTTCTTTGTATTACCTGTTCAGACTCCAAAAGAAAAAATGACAGAGGTCATTATGCTTTTGTAAACAGTATCTATATTATAATCCAGAGAATATTTCAAGGCTCTTTTCAAGGTGATGGATGAGTAACACTCAATTCTGGTCAAATGTTTTTGTATGGTTTAGATTTATACCACAGTAATGGCATGAACAGTTGTTTCAAACAGCCTCTGTAGGTAACAGTGAGCAGTGTCACATGTTTACAAACCAGGATTAGGAGAAACAGGCAGCTGGTTCCCAGCACACACATGACAGAGCTGCCATAGGACCCTAAGGATGGTGACAGGACTCTGCAGAAGGATTTCCCTGTGGTAGCCACCAGCATTACAGGTTGGGCCCCTTACAGACTCCCCCCAAGAAAGGGCTGGATTTTGTACTTTTTCTTCACACAGAGAACTCAAAAAGACACTCTGTCCAGAACTATGTTCCAGAATTAAGGACTCTTTGCTTTATATAAAACAAGATCAGTAACAGAAAAGCACCATGTACACGAAAAATATGAATTTATAAGAATACATCTTCTCCATAACGTGTAGAGGTAAGTTTCCATCTGTATTTTGGAAGGCTCATACAGAAGTGTCATGGCTAGTGACACCAAAGCCCAGTACTTTGGTGCTGTAATCATAATAGATGTTACATTTTGGAAGCAAAGTCTGATACACTGGAGGGTCCCACAACCAGCCTGGCGTGACCTCGTGGCTAAGCTAACTGCAAGACCCCCTGAGCAATCCTGCTCCTCCTGGAGGGGTGGGGAAAGAGGGGGAGCCTGCGTAACAGGCAATTTTCTGCTGAAACAGTGTATGCAAACTGCTCCCGCTACACAAAATGCACGGGGCTTAGTAATGCTCACACAACAGGTCAGTGTTCAATAGGTGGCTTTTCTGTGAGAAGACTGAAAAAGAGAGGGGGAAAAAAACATACTGGAAGAAATAAAATAAATCTCAGTTCGGACACAGGAATAGCATTTTATTTTAACTTAGAAATTAAAAATAATTGTAAATATTTTTATACAGACTGTTTTCTGAATAAAATGTCATTATAAAACTACTGAAGGTTTTCTGTGTTCCTGTACTGGAAAAGCTTTACTTTCCTTTTACCCTTAAAAAGGGGTTTAACAAAGTGGCATGTTCCGTTTAGTTAAAAAGCTTTCATGAGTTTGTGTGAGATAGAGGCAGTGCAAGGGGAACAGAGAGAGCTGATACTCTCCAACAGCATCACTGTTCTGTGAAAACAGCTTGGAAATGAAGCTTGAAGTGTAACCACAAAAGCAGCCTTACCCTTTTTCACATGAACAGGCTGTGTTACAAAACGTTGTGTTAGAAGCAAGTTCAGCACATGATGCCACAAACTGAGGCCAGTAAAGGAAACAGCACTTGGCTGGCCTAAGCAGCAGAGTGACAGAGAGGGGAACTGAACAGACACTAACAGCAAGAGTAGGCCTTGGATGGAACAGGAGTGTCTTTTGCCAGAAATACACCGAGACACCTTGAGGCTCAGTTTCCAGCTGCTTCTCTAAGAACCAGCAACAGAAAGCTCAAGACAGGAGCCCAGTTCAAATGAAAAAGGACTGACCATCAACCACAAATCTGTGAGAGCTTTTGAGCCAAGAATTCCCAGCCCTTATTTCCAGCATCACTGCTTGCCCCTATCCTGCCTGATGCTGAAGTTGGGCAAGGTAAAAGCGAGGAGCCTTGTATCACCCAATGGAAAGACACACTGGTTAGTTATCAGCCTGTAAACTCCTGGATTTTGTACATGTACAATTAAGAGACCTGTTCTCTCCACAGAAGAGCTGATGTGTTGTGGAGCATTACAGTGCAACAGAACGAGTGGACCAGGCTCTGTCATTTAAAAATACTGTATTTTATTTATATTTGTTTACTTAGGAAAACCTAAGGGTAAGTGAGCCGAGAGTGTCACTAGTGGTGAACCCACACAAAGACTGAGACATGAGATCTCCACAACTGTATTACACACAAAAAGCCCCCCAAAACAAAAACCATGAAGAAGTGAGATGCTGTTTGGACGCTTTTATCTGGGAATCAGGAAAACCTCTATAGAAACAGCTTTCATAGAAATAGCATTTTTCTTAGTGGAAGCAGGATGCAGGTAGCATCCAGAGTAGTAGCATTCCCTTGCCAAAATTATCACCCAAGCTGGGGTATTTATTGATTGTACCAACACGCCACTGCTAGTAAACTCGCTGTCACAACGCTCTTTCAAACACATCTTTGATGACACTATACAACCAATCTCCTTTCCGAGAGGCAGTGGCAGCTGGCCTGAGGATACACCCCACTGCAAGCCTGGTTCCCTGTAAAGCAAAGAGCTGTGGGTTGCTCATTTGAGCCAAGGGCATCGTGCTGACGGCTGAGCAGAACTCCATGGGAGCTAGTTTGGTGGTCTCTCCAGTACTGCACAATACAAGAAGCATGGCCTAAAGTAACATCCACCTACAACACACTAGTAGATCATTTCAGATTCAGTACTATGTACAATTTACTCTTACTTAGTATACTAAGGAGCTGCGGTATTTCTTCCGGGACGTGTTATTTGACTGAGGATTATTGAATCTTTCTGTCCACTGGGCTGCAGAGGGATGCTGCACTCCAGCCGCACCATCAGGTTAAGAAACTTCAACCACCTGCCTCAGTTCTTCAAACAGGGGCGTGAGCTCCTTCTCTAAACTTACAATCAGCCCTGGAAAGAGAGCAGAGACAGAACATCCCATCAAATGACACAACCAAGAAGCCTCTCCAAACCCCACAGCTTCTTCCCCTCCTAAGTCACAGGCAATGTTTTCCAAAACACAAAACATTTCACTTGAGCTGCTCACTCTCCACGGGAACAGTGGACAGCACCCCAAGGGAGGGTGCCTGCAGCCCTCAGCACCAAGAGGTGCACATCCCATGCAGCACAGCTCTCCCTGGTGCTGCTGCTTGCCTCTGCTATCGCCTTGCTGCTTCCCACAGCTACCAAGGCTCAAGCAGCTGAGGAGGAACTAAACCCCTTTTGCTCACACTCCTTAGCCAGGTGCCTTGCTGAAGGATTTCCCCACCCTACAGAACTGAGATGAAGCCACTCATCTTGCTGCAGGACATAATCTGGGACTGGCGGAAGGAGACTGAGCTGGTTTGTATGGTACAACCCCTGCTGGTGCAGTGAACACTCTAGTGCGGCAAAGGTAAAGTTAATCACAGGAGAACTACACTTCTAACAGTCACAACTTCAGCAAGTCACCTAAAATCTATTAAATTTTTACTCACACCTTTCTCTCCTCCCCTTCACAATACACTGATAAAATTCATAGCAGGAGAAAAGTTAATATACCTTGAAGTAAATTCACATAACTTATTTTCAATTACTTAAACACTTGGGCCCTAAAATACTGCAATGTTTAAAATACACCTGAAGACGTACCAGTATTGGCATTGCTGCTAGCAATGAAACTCACTACCAAAGGTAAGCGATTGAACTGCACCACCTGCAGGAGAAAGAACAGTGTTCAGGCAGCAGCTAACACGGGTTGGATGTCAGAGCTCTGCCACATCATTTCCTCCTGAAACAAGCAGCCTCCTCAGTTTAAAGGGCAAGCAGGAGCAAGAGCCACAGAGCTGGCTTTTCAGTATTTCTATTTCATAAGATTTGCAGCTAAAAAACACCAACATGCAGAAAGCCTGGCATTTCCCTCCCTCCCTCCCTCCCGTGTTCTGCAGTGTTTTCCACCCAAAATCTAACTGAGCTGCAAATGCTGCAGAGTACGCTACAGAGACCACACTCTCCACAGGTAACAAGAGCGCAGGCAGGGTTTCAGAATACTATTCTGCATACAGCAGCATCTCTTCTGCCATTAACAGGGAACTGGAAGCTTGAGTACAGTGAGAAGCTACCAGCATCAAGGGAATCAAAGCAATGTACTTGATGCATGTAAATCAACTCAGGCACCCACTGATTTTCCAAACAAAGCTAGATACCGTATGCTACACTGTTGGCCATTTTACTGCAGACATAGAAAAAAGCTCTCAAGATCACAAGAACTTGAGGAGGAGTAGAAACTTAGCAGATGATGGATTTCAGGACACAAATAACTGGTTTGTAAAAAAAATGCAAGTAGTATTTCAAAGCTTTCATACATCAAAGATGTACTGGCAGCAAGACCAGCTATGAAGTAGGCAGCATGTGCAGATTTAACTTTAGGTGTCACTAATAATAAGCAAATATTGTTTGTTAAGGACAACATAAGCCCTTCATAGCAGATTCCGAAAGGCCATATGAGCAGCACCTGCTGCAAATTCCTGATTATTGCCTGTTGAGAAAAGGTCACCACCATTAACCAGTAAATCTCAGTTTTGAGAAATATAAGAGAAGCTTAATGAACAGCGTGAAAGTGCAGCTAAGCCATTTAAGCAGTGTTACAAGTAAAACACGAATACTTCAACTGCAGCCAAGTGGGAACCTAGCTGAGTTTAAACAACTCTCTCTGCCTTGCTCAATTAAATGCAGTAACACTGCAATGCACCATAAATGCTCTGGTCACTGAGCACAAACCACACTGAGGTTACCCACCTGGTACGTGTTGTAATAGCAGATGATACTTTTATTTTTAGAAAGCCCTAGTTTACTGCCCTGATCTGTGGCAAGGGCAAAGGTAGACAAGAAGCCAGGTCGCAGTGCATGTTCTGGAGCATTATCATTGGCAACTGGAACAAAACAAGAAAATTCTTATTTTCACATAGTATCACTACTGCCTCACAAATCCTTACGCAGCTTAGTGCTGTGCCAAAAGCAGATCTGGTGTTGAGGATCACGTAACATACACTTCTGCAACAAGTACAGAAATCCTGCAAGAGCAGTAAAGCGTTTAATATTCTTTATGCTATCTGTGGTCCTTACACCAGCCTCCTTCCTTGCATGCCTAAAAACCAGCCTTTTCCTTTACAATGCACAGCCTGTGCTGATGTTGCTTTGGTTGTGTCCTTCATAGCCTGTGCCGATTCCAGCTTTTGAACTTATTATTGGCACACAGTCACTTGAATGAAAGCAGGTTAAGATGTGCGAGTTCTGCTGGTTAAATACTTTTGGATGTAAAAAACAGCAACACAATAATCTGCAGTACTTGAACCACTACTCTTAAACTAGTTTAACCACAATAAAAAAACAACTTAAAGACTGCAGAGATACGATCAAAATTACAGCACCAAAACGCAAACTAATGTGTGCAAAAGTTGGATGCGATTGCTTCTGGGCACAGACCAGCCCAGTCAACAAAGCACTGGTAAGTGCTCTCCAGTACTTTGTACCAGCCTGTGAGTGAGTGGAAGATACAAACACCTTACACCACCCCAACCCTATTCACTGAGAAAAACTTCTGTGGGCTGCAGTTACTGAGAACATTGCATACACAGGAAAAAAAAGATAATTTGAAAGAGGCACATAATGAACTATTGAACTTGAAGTAAAAGTCTAGTTAAATTCTTCAGTTTTGGATATTCAGGTTTTGGCCATAACCAGAGAAGGTTCTGCTGTACTTTTCCACCCCCTGCTGTTCAGTCAGGAGTTTGGCTGCAGGCAGAGTAAAGCTGAAGTTACCTTTGATAACAGGCACGCCATCTCTATCTGAGACTACAATAGCATGAAGACCTTCAATGCTGCCAAAAAAAAAGACACTATTTTAAAAACAGAATAGTCAGTAGCAAAGTTTTGGTTTTAGGTTTTGGGTTTTTTTCCTGAAAAAAAAACAAACAGGAAATGGGGGAAATATGGAAAAAATTATGCCTTCACTAATTAATATTTTACTGAAAGGGATTTGTACTTTTTAGGACAGGTGGCGATTTGAAGCAGTAAAAAAAGAAATACAAAATAAAACGACTAAAAATTGCACTTCCAGCTTCAGAAAGAGGATTAATGCTCCTGATCAAATTTCATGACTCAAGGAGCCTTTGTGTGCTGTCCTCGCTTAACAAGCACCAGTCTCACTGCATGCGCGGAAGACCTCAGAGCACAGCTGTTTAACGATGCTAGCAACCCCCAATTTCCAAAAACGGAGTTATCAAGGATCAGGCAACCGAGTCACCAGGAATGCTTTTTTCCACCCCTTGTTAGGACACAGTGAGCACACTCCACTTCTCATCACATAAGCGAGTGAAAGGTGAAGCTACTGTCTTCATCTCAAGGCACTTCCAGCTCATTTAATCAACAAAAAGCGCACGGAGTCAGCAGCTTCCCTCAAGCGGCAGAAGGGGCTGGCAGTGAACTCTCCGCAGCCCGGCAGGGCGCAGACGATCGTTCCGTAACCGGGAAGAGCCCTGCCCACCAGCCCCGCCG